GAGGCGCCGCAAGCAGGGGGTGAAGGGCGATGCGCCCCACCTGCGTGCGCAACTCGTCGACTTGTTGTTCGAGATGGGTGACCGCCGGCCTCCAGAGCTCCAGAGACTGCTGGATCACGTCGAGGCGGGCCTCGTTGGCCACCCGCCCATCGTTGACAGCCTTGGCCAGTGCTGCGATTTGTTCCTCCATTGCTGCCGCCCGCTTGGCTTGTTTCGTCTGGTAGCGGGGCTTGGGGTAGGCAGTCTCCAGATCGACGGACTGGACCTCTGATACCAGATGTTACAGACCGATCTACCAGTGGCGGCGCTACAGGGAAGGGAGAGGGGATAATTGAGAGAGGAAGAGGAAGATTATGTTCTGGAGGAGAAGGACAACGTCTCTCTCTCAGCCGGTTCGTGATTTCAGTTTCTCGATGATCCCCACTTACATGACTCTGGCCTAGTTATACACAAATGGCAGAGCACGCAGGCCCCTTGTCGAGTACGGCCCAACTGCAGGGCCATTTAGCGGCGCGTCGCTGGTCTCCTTAGCATCCTTCACGCTGATGCTGGGACCGTGGGGTCCCGTTCCAGCTGGCGAGTCCGGCCCTCCCTGTCAGCCGTGACATGGCCGCTCTCTCTGTTGCCGGAGTATGCCATGGGATCAAGCCCCTGAACATCGGCCGGTGCCTACTAATGTGGTCATGGACGACCAAAGCAACAACCACAATATCCTCATCATTGGACGACTAATAATTCGAATCACAAATGAAATTGTTGAAAAAGTACGCGTCATCGGAGTCTATCTGTACCTTGCCGGTGAACCGTTGAACACCTGCATGTGTAGTGGAAGAAGCTGACTGGTGCAGAGCCTCGCGCCTCTCTGAGACCAGGTAGCAGGCCTATTGGCGTGGAAGCGAACGTGGCGGCGTCCGGCGAGTGAGGTGGACGCGCAAGGCGGTGCTGCCGGCGGTGGAGGCAAGGGGATGCCGTCGACGTTGGAGTGCGGCGACGACGACGAAAATAGACCCCCAACGACAGAGTATGGTGCACTCGTGGGGTGGCGTGCTGCTGGGGGAGGTATTTGGGCGTGGGCGGCGACAGTGAGGAGGGGCGGCTGGATGCGGTGGCGGCCGATGAGGGGCAAGGGAAGATAGGCGTAGTCGTCGTGTGCGTTCGCCGCGTGTCTGCGCTGACGTGAATGTGGCCTAAATTTGAGCCTGATAATGAGTCAAAAAACGTGTACGGATCCGTTTGCGTCGACGCGTTGGGCGTCTTTTGTGTCCGTTTCAACCCGAACACTTTGGGTCAGCGGGGATGGAATTGCTGTGACACTGGCTGAGACAGCGCGTTTGGTTGTTTAAGGAAAAGGGATTGGGAATTTATGAGAGGGAGTTGCCTGAGGGATTAGGCTTGGCAAATGGACTATTAGTCCTAATCCCACGTTTGGTGTGGGGTGGGAATTATATGTGGGAATAATTCTAATGAACAATGGAGAAAGAATGGGACACGCAAATGTTGAAACAAAATCGTAACATGTGAAGGCAAAAAAAAGAGTAGAAAGGGAAAATAGATCTGCATTGGTCTGTAAAGGAAAAATAAACGAATCAAACTTTATTACGTAGCAAAATCAGATGGGCTACACGCTGCTGGGTGCCCCTCTTACATGAGATGTGCTCGTGCTTGGCATTGCATCTGCAGATTAGTAAGCAGTTAGAGCTCGCCGATTTATTTGGAGGAAAATGATGTCGCTGCAAGTAAGATTTTTGTGGAGTTTTTTTCTTTTTTTGCGGGAGGTGGGTCAATAAATTTGTAACAATTTTCTTCCATGCGTCAACTCCCATTCCTTCATGGAATTACCAGGGTCCCCCAAGAAAAAGATCGATGGGAGTTGGGCCTCCTAATTCCCCTTCCCCTTCCCTTGTTAATTCCCAAGTCCATGAACCAATCAAAAGATTTTTAGTCCCAGCCACCTTAAATTCCCATTTCCTAGCTCCAACTCCCCCAAACAAACAGGCTAAGAGCATTACTAGTAGAACCCTCAAACCCTCAAATCTAAAAAGCACTTTTAAGGGTTGAGTTGTGCCACTTTTTGACACTTTTAAGGGTTGAAAAACAGTGGCAAATACTAGAACCCTCAAACCCAACCCGTAAACTGCTTTAAGGGTTGGATTTGAGGGTTCTAGTCTTTGACTCAACCCCAACCTTTAAATCTATCATTTGGCATCTCATAATTTATGACAACAAGAACACAATCAACTTCCAAGCAAACTACCAAATGACAATCATTGATGCATGGTTTAATAGTTTACATCACAAAATCATCATCTTCCTCCTCTCATCGGCACCATCACCAAAAGTTGCACCTCGGCGCCATCTCCTAGACCACAAGCGGGCTCCATCAAGCATCTCCATCGCCACCGATGGAGTCGTACACACCGCCATCACCACAACTACTCATCGGAGTGTCAGCTCGAAAAGTAGAGGACGCAACACGAAACATCCTCTTCCTCTCCGCGATGTCCTCCTTGTAGTCCTTCCACCATTGCAATTGGTCTTGATCCATGTCCTTCTTGGACATCATCATGTGCTCTTTCTCCTCCATCATGAGTTCTTTCCATACCTTTGCCTCTTTGAGCTTGATCATCCTCTCCTCCAACTCGGCCTTGCGCTTTGCTTCTTCACGCTTTGCTTCAACTTGTGCAAGCTTGACCTCTTTCTTCTTCTCGGTGATAAGAAGCTTCGTCTCCAATGTCTTCGTTGTCAATTCCTCTCTTGCCTTCATCATGTGGTCCATCTTCTCCCTTAGGCTTGACGCCTCTTCTTCCATCTTCACCCTTAGCTTGCCCTTCTTGTTTCCCTCGGGCTTGCCCACGTTCCTCTCCTCCTCATCTTCACTATCATCCATCCTTAGCATTGCCGACTTCTTGGGTGCGGTCTCTTGATCCCTCAACTTCCACTTGTCAAAGGTTTGAAGAATTGACCAAACATGCTTAAATGGGAACGCCTTGCCCTTGGAAGCGGCCATCTCCTTGTACCTCATGCCGGCAATTGTCTCCTATCAACCACACATAAATCACATAAGAAC